GGCGACATCAGTTCGTGGTCGACGACAACGGCAATTCGTGGTTGACGTTAGTTCGTGGTCGACACGGCGCCGGTGGGCGACCAACGACACAACGGAAGTTCGTGGTTGTTTTTTTAATTTCGGGCTGAGAGAGAAAGGGGAAAATGATGAGAGAGAAACTGATTTATATTTGGCAATGAAGGGGGGGGGGTATTTTAGGGTTTTTACCTTAATTTTGTATAAATACAAGTGCTGAGAGTATTGTATTTTAGAGATTGAGTTTAAAGACAAATACAAAAAGTGAATTGGGCTTAAAGATACAACTAATAATGTTTGGGTTTAAAGATAAAGTTGAGTAAACAAATAGGTATAAAAACGAAAACCCCTTTGGTTTATCTGTAGCATGTGACAACAAAGTTTTTTGATCCCATGATTACAATAACACTGGTGACTGTGACCTATGGATCTCAGTTAGCATCATCAGCATCCGACCCCAATCATCTACGTATATCACATGACTCGATAACAGAACGTCCGTACTCAAACCAATAATGGAAAGGCTTGCCGTCGAAGGGCTGTTGTTTAGCAGTATATTTATGTTTCTTCATTATGTATACATGAGAAGCCTTTAGTACAGAAATAATTAATTAGCACGGTTTTGAGATGTGGTGCACCTGTCAGAGACCATTATTGTCATCATCAGCATGTCATATGTCAATAATTAATCAAGTGATTATTGCCGCTTTGGAGAAATTAGGAACCCTTGAATTGTAGTGAGGTGCGATTTCTAATCTGAGGTTAGAGTGTTAGCTGCCAACTTTTAGGCTCATCGATGGAAATCGTTATCTTTCTGGTCGTCTAAATAAAGCAGAGATTTGGTGACGGAACTTTATTGAGTTTAGATTTAGGTCGGGGGTGGGTCCCAGCATCTTTAGTCATCCTTGTACTGTTGGCTTGGTTCAAATGTATTCTGCATGCAAAGACTCCTAAAGGGTTTGGTAGGGGCTACGGAGGGGGAGACAGGAGCTTTTGAGATGAACTGTTTTTGGTACTCCGCTGCTGGATTCCAAGCCACGGCACAGAAAAGGTTCCCTTTCTGAAGATTGAAAAGGCTTCCGTCCTCGGTCGCCAGGAATCTAAATTATGGCAAGAGTTGGTGTGGACTCTTGTTGCATTTAGTTTTAGTCATACATGTGAGAGGGAGGTATAAAGAGGAAGTTGAAGATAATATATTTTGTTGGTAACTGAACACATGTTTCCTGTACCATTAATGTGTTGGGAGGAAATATTTGGAGGTGATGGAGAAAGTGTTTAAGAATTCGGGAGACAATAGAAAATTTAGGAAGAAGAAGATTTTTATTTCTTTTGAACACCTTAGAACAACTTAGAACTTCTTGATTACAAATGAGAGGGAATGGGGGTATTTATAGCCTCCAAAGTACAAAATATCTAGAATATTTTAATCCTAAATCTAGAGAGTTCTAGCATAATATCTAGAATTTTATATTACAATTATCTAGAGAAATATCTAGATATTCATTCTCTATAATTTTCTAGAACATTTTAAAGAGGTGGAGATGTTTAGATATTTCTAGAGAAAACTCTAGAACTTGGATCAAGTATTGGGTTTTGGCCCAACAAGTGATAATTGGATCATTGATCCAATAATTAAACTTGATCCAAAATCAAGTTTACTTTTCAACACCCCCTCTTAAACTTGATTTTGCTACTCCAAGCAAACTCCTCATCTTGATAAAATCTTCGCGCTTGAGAGGCTTGGTGAAGATATCAGCTACTTGATCATTCGTCTTCACGTACTCCAATTGAACGTCCCTCTTGGTAACACACTCTGTAATGTACTGATAACGAGTGTCAATGTGCTTACTTCGATCATGGAAGACTGGGTTCTTCGCCAAAGCTATTGCTGACTTATTATCCACTAAGATCTTCGTTGGCTCCTTTTGTGGCAAACTCAACTCGTTTAACAGGTTCCGTAATCAAACAGCATGGCAAACTCATGAAGTAGCCGCTACATACTCTGCTTCACAAGTAGAAAGGGTGACAATTGGTTGCTTCTTTGACATCCATGTGAAAGCTGTATCTCCAATGAAGAACACAAATCCGCTTGTGCTTTTTCGGTCATCTACGTCTCCACCCCAGTCGCTATCGCTAAATCCAACAAGCTTGTAATCGTCAGAAACAGAGTAATACAAGCCAAAGTTTATGGTACCTTTGATATAGCGAAGTATCCTTTTAGCTGCCTTGAAATGAGTTGTTGTTGGATGCTCCATGTATCGGCTCACAACTCCGACTGCATATAGGATGTCAGGTCTTGTGCACGTTAAGTAGCATAGGCTTCCAACCAAGCTCTTAAATAGTGTTGGATCTACACTCTCTCCTTCTTCTTACTTTAACAATTTGGCTCCACATTCCATTGGCGTGCTTACTGGATTCGAGTCATCCATCTTGAACTTCTTAAGAACCTCTTTAGCATAGCCTTCTTGAGTAATGAAAATTCCATTATCTTCTTGTCTCACTTCAATTCCAAGGTAGTAAGACATCAATCCAATATCGATCATCTCGAACTCCTTCGTCATCTCCATCTTGAATTCCTCGAACATACTTGGATTGTTGCCTGTGAATATCAAGTCATCTACATACAAGCATGCAATCAATATATCATTGTTTTGAGTTTTGATATAGAGTGCATGCTCATATGGATACTTGATGAAACTTTTCTCCTTGAAGTACTTATCAATTCGAGTATTCCAAGCTCTTGGTGCTTGTTTTAACCCATAAAGTACCTTCTTTAACCTCAAGACTTTGTCTTCTTCTCCCTTGATTATGTAGCCTTGTGGTTGCTCAATGTAAACTTCTTCTTTAAGATCTCCATTTAAGAAGGCTGATTTGACATCCATTTAATGTATCCTCCAATTGTTTTGAGCTGCCAATGAAATGATTAATCTAACAGTTTCTAGACGAGCAACAGGAGCGCATACTTTGTCATAGTCGATTCCCGCTCTTTGACTATAACCTTTTGCCACCAATCTTGCCTTGTATCTTTCAACTTCTCCTTTAGAGTTCTTCTTTGCTTTGTACACCCACTTCACACCGATCGCCTTATGCCCATTTGGAAGTGAAGCTAACTCCCATGTCTCATTCTTTTGTATCGCCTTGATCTCTTCATCCATTGCATTTCTCCATGTCTTCTTCTTCATAGCTTCTTCGAAATTCATGGGCTCGCAATCCGCAAATAGACAAAATAAAGTAAGATTGTCTTGATTTTCAGTTACCTCGTAAAGTTCTTGCAGACTTCTGAAACGTGGAGTCCTTTCGCTCGAACTTTCATCTTCTTGAGAACTTGTTGTTGGTGAAGTTGGTGGGGTAACAGGCTCCTCTCTTGGTTGCTCCAATTCATCTTCTTTAACATGTGGAAAGAAGTTATAGTCTTCATCATTTGATCTCCAATCCCATTCTCCTTCTTCATTAAAGATGACATTTTGACTGATGATTATCTTCTTTGTATCAGGATTGTAGAGCTTGTAGCCTTTGGAGTTGGCATCGTAACCAATGAAGATGTACTTCTCACTTTTGTCGTCTAGTTTGCTCCGCTTCTCGCCCGGTACATGAGCGTGAGCAAGGCTTCCAAAGACTCTTAGATGAGAAACACCGGGCTTCCTTCCGCTCCAAGCTTCTTGTGGTGTTTTTCCCGAAACACTTCTTGTTGGAGATCGATTTGATAGATAAACCGCGCATGCAACTGCTTCTGCCCACAACTCTTTTGGTAGTTTCTTACTTTTGAGCATGCTCCTCGCCATTTCAAGGATTGTCCCATTCTTCCTTTCCGAAACTCCATTTTGTTGAGGGGACCTCGGCACCGTCAATTGTCTTCGAATACCGTTATCATCACAATACTTCTCAAATTCCTTGGATGTGAATTCTCCTCCACGGTCGGATCTCATGGCTTTGATCATAAGGCCACTTTCCTTCTCGACATGGGCTTTGAACTTTTTGAAGTTTTCAAACACTTCTGATTTTTCCTTAACTTTTTGAAGTTTTCAAACACTTCTGATTTTTCCTTCAAAAAGTAAACCCATGTTTTTCTTGAAAAATCATCAATAAAGAGAAGAAAGTAGTTACTTTTACCGAGTGATCTTGGTTTGATCGGGCCACATACATCTGTATGTATGAGTTCCAATGGCTTCCGCGCTCTTGTGTCTGACTCCTTTGGAAAGCTTATTTTGAATTTCTTTCCAAGTAGACACCCTTCACACACTTGATTTGGATGGTTGATGAAAGGCAATCCTCTCACCTTCTCCTTTTTAGAAAGTAGCTCTAATCCTCCAAAGTTGAGATGCCCGAATCGAAGATGCCAAAGCCAGGACTCCTCCTTGTAGCACATCTTGAGACATTGTGCGATGTCATTTTGAATGTTAAGAACAAACATTCTATTCTTTGACATCAGCACCTTGGTAATGAGATTGTTTTCTTGGTCTCTTATAGAAAGGTTATTATCCTTTAATCGAATATCATAACATTTCTCTAAGAGTTGTCCAAGGCTTAATATATTGGTCTTCATGCTTGGGATATAGTAAACGTTGGAAATAAATTAATGATCTCCATTCTTCAATCGAATGAGAATATTTCCTTTACCTTTCACCTCCATCTTCGATTCATCTCCCAAAGCCACATTTCCTTTCACCGATTCATCAAGCTCCACGAACATGCTTCTTTTCCCGCACATGTGATTGCTTGCACCGCTATCGAGGTACCACTTGTGAACCTCATCTTGTTCATCTTTCTTGTAAGCCATCAATAGCATATCATCTTCTTGGCTTCTTTCTTCAACATAATTGGACTTCTCTTCAACTCTATTATTGTTCGGAGCTTTGCATTCGGAAGCATAGTGTCCAAACTTTCCACAATTATAGCATTTAACGCTTGACTTATCGTACCTTGGTTTTTGATTTCCTCTCCCATGACCTCTTGATGAGCTTTCTCCTCTTTGGTTAGTGTTGTCATCATGAGGCCTCCAACCTCGTCCATTTCCATATCCATGACCTCGTCCTCGGACTTGACCGCCACCTCGTCTTTGATAACTTCGTCCGCTTAATTTCTTCTTTAGTTTGATCAATCCGCATCTTGAGTACTTGTTCTTCAATATCTTCCTTCATCTTCTTCTTTTCTTCATAAGCTTGTAACGACCCAAGAAGTTGCTCCATCGTCATAGCCTCCAAATCCTTTGTTTCTTCAATGACAGTGACAATATGCTCGAATTTTGGATCCAACGATCTAAGAACCTTCTCCATGATTCTCACCTCATCTAACTTCTCGCCATTTCTCTTTAGGTTATTAGTAACCATTAAAACTCTTGAGAAGTAATCGAAGATGAGTTCACCTTCCTTCATTTGCAACGCTTCAAATTCTCCTCTTAGAGTTTGAAGACGTACCTTCTTGACTTGATCTGCTCCCTTGTAAGAAGTTCGAAGCTTCTCCCATGCTTCTTTGGTCGTCTTTGCTCCCGCGACCTTCTCGAATGTATCTTCATCTAGACCTTGATAGATTAGATAGAGAGCCTTCTTGTCTCTCTTCCTTGAGTCTCTCAAACTATCCTTTTGAGTTTGAGATAGACTACCATCATTCTCCGGTTCAATGAAGCATTTCTCGACAATCTCCCACACGTCATGTGCTCCTAGGATAGCCGTCATTCTTAGACTCCAATTGTCGTAGTTGCTCTTTGTGAGCATCAGGACTTGAAAGGGAACACCGTTACTCGCCATCTTCAAGGGAATCTTCTAGCTCTGATACTACTTTGTTGGGAAGAAATATTTGGAGGTGATGGAGAAAGTGTTTAAGAATTCGGGAGACAATAGAAAATTTAGGAAGAAGAAGATTTTTATTTCTTTTGAACACCTTAGAACAACTTGGAACTTCTTGATTACAAATGAGAGGGAAGGGGAGATATTTATAGCCTCCAAAGTATAAAATATCTAGAATATTTTAATCCTAAATCTAGAGAGTTCTAGCATAATATCTAGAATTTTATATTACAATTATCTAGAGAAATATCTAGATATTCATTCTCTATCATTTTCTAGAACATTTTAAGGAGGTGGAGATGTTTAGATATTTCTAGAAAAAACTCTAGAACTTGGATCAAGTATTGGGTCTTGGCCCAACAAGTGATAATTGGATCATTGATCAAATAATTAAACTTGATCCAAAATCAAGTTTATTTTTCAACTTAATGAATGTTCAACCTACACAAATTTTCCTAGGCATCCACAGGAGCACAGACTGTCAGTCCTATATAGTTTGTATTAAGGAAAGTGCACACAGAATACACAATAGCAAGCAGAAGAAAAATGTTCACACTTTCCCAATTGAGTTGTCAGATGGGAAAATTCAACCCATCTTTTATCAATGCAAATATGGTCAATAACAAAGCAAGTATTAACAGCCCAGAAACAATAAATAAAGTACGCAAGTGTTTACGTGGAAACCCCAATGCGGGGAGAAAACCACGGGACCGGAGGCCGGTACCAAACTCTTCCACTAATCACCAGTAAAATAAGTGGGTACACTAATTGTCTTCTCTAGATAATACTATAGGCACATATAATCATCAAGGAACAACCTTGGAACAACAATTCTCCATAAACTTCACTCACAAGTGATAATCAACAATTTTATGAAGATTAGGGTTGAAAATAAAATACTAACTTTGGAAGCTCTAAATGACAATCCAACCGTTGGATATGAAGCTTGGGATGACAGGAACAAAGTGTCAAATTTTGGCTACAATCAGAGCACGTTTGACCCTCGATCAAGCGCAACACCAGAACTGCTCCAAGAAGAAATTCAGCACTCAAGATTCTCCTTTTTTTCTCTGTGGTTTCGTAGTGTGTTTTCTGCACACTCCCAGAAGCTTCCAACAGCTCCTATTATATTTAGTCAGCCCCTTATCACTCCTTGTTGGGTCATAACAAGTATATAACATCATATGGGTCCAAGACACAAGTAACCCATATAGAAAAACAACACAAGGTAAATAGCCCATATTAAAATATTGGGCTCTTCCTCCAAGTAGGAGGGTATAACCCAGCAAATCTCCCCCTCACTCCTACTTGGGGGGCTCGACCAACCCTGCTTTCAAACGACAAGAAACAAGCTTTTCCTTGGGCAAGGTCTTCGTCAACATGTCCGCTCCATTTTTGTTAGTATGGATCTTCACGAGCTAAATTGACTTTTCTTCTATCGCTTACCGAATCCAATGATATCTTCTCTGAATGTGCTTGGTCCGTGAATGATAGGTAGCAATCTTGGCAAGGTGGATGGCACTTTGACTATCACAGTGGAGTAGGTATTTTTCTTGCTCCAACCCTAACTCCTCAAGAAAATATCTCATCCATATTATCTCCTTACATGCTTCAACGGCCGCCATATACTCGGCCTCGGTGGTCGAAAGAGCAACACACTTTTGCAGCTTTGATTGCCATGATACAGCTCCCCCTGCAAATGTCATCAAGTATCCAAAAGTAAACTTGCTAGAATCAAAATCACTCGACATAGCTGCATCTGTGTAGCCATCCAACACAGGTTGTCCCGGGCCAAAACATAAGCTCACTCTAGAAGTACCTCTAAGATACCTGAGAATCCACTTCACTGCTACCCAATGCTCCTTTCCAGGATTAGACATGAACCTGCTAACAACCCCAACAGCATGAGCTATATCCGGTCTCGTGCATACCATGATGTACATCAAACTTCCAACGGCGGATGCATAAGGCACATTTTTCATTTCTTTTCTTTCATCATCACTTGCGGGACATTGACTTGAATTCAAATTCATGTTTCCTGCAAGTGGAGAGCACACAAGTTTAGCCTTGTTCATGTTGAATCTTTGCAGCACCTTCTCGATGTACCTTTCTTGTGATAACCATAACTTCTTGTTTTTCCCATCACGGTAAATGTGCATGCCCAAAATCTGTTTTGCAGGGCCAAGGTCCTTCATTGCAAAGGACTTGTTCAAACTAAGCTTCAAATTGGCAATCTTGTTGGTATCACGACCAACAATCAACATATCATCAACATACAACAAGAGAATGAGAAAATCACCTTTGGCAAAATTCTTCACAAACACACAGTGATCGGCATGTGTTTTGTGGAATCCATGATCAATCATGAATGACTCGAATTTTTTGTACCATTGTCGAGGTGCTTGCTTCAAGCCATACAAACTTTTCTTCAAGTGGCACACAAGTTTCTCTTTTCCCTTGACCTTGAAACCTTCAGGTTGCTCCATGTATATTTCCTCCTCTAAATCGCCATGGAGGAATGTTGTCTTCACATCAAGTTATTCAACTTCCAAGTCTAAGGTGGCAGCCAATCCAAGAACAACTTGTATTGAAGACATCTTCACAACTGGAGAGAAAATCTCATTAAAATCAACACCCTTTTTCTGCTCACAGCCTTTCATGACTATTCTTGCCTTATATCTAGGTGGTTTTCCATCTTCTCCAGTCTTCAACTTGTACACCCACTTATTCTTGAGTGCTTTCTTACCTTGAGGCAACTTCACCAAATCATAGGTGTGGTTCTCATGCAATGAATTCAACTCTTCTTGTATGGCATTATACCACTCCTTGCAATGCTCATGTGACATAGCCTCATTGTAGCATTCTGGTTCTCCCCCATTAGACAATAACACAAAATCATTTCATGAGTACCTCGAGGAAGGTTGTCTTTCTTTGGTGGATCTTCTTACTTGAGGTTGTGGTGGTGGCTCTGCAACATGTGGCTCATTTTCAGGTTGCTCATCATCACCATTATCACCATCATCAGCATTGTTGTCACCATCTTGCTGCACTTCTCCCCCTTCAACTCTAGGGGTGACTTGTGGAAAGATAGGATCAATGTTGATTGGAGCTTGAGAGGATGTTGGTTGCTTTGGCTTCTCAAAATCTTCAATGGTTTGATCTTTAAAGAATACAACATCTCTGCTTCGAATGACCTACCTGTCAACTGGATCCCACAACTTATACCCAAAATTATCTTCTGAGTACCCTAAGAAAATACACTGCTTTGTCTTCTTATCAAGCTTGGATCGTTCATCTCTAGGAATATGCACAAATGCTTTGCATCCAAAAACTCTCAGGTGCTTGTAGGAGACATCTTTCCCCGTCCATACTCTCTGAGGAACATCACAGTCAAGAGGAACTGAAGGAGAAAGGTTGATCAAATACACTGCAGTGATCAATGTCTCTGCCCAAAAGGACTTTGGCAATTTAGCATTAGAGATCATGCATCGAATTCTTTCTTCAATTGTTCCGTTCATTCTCTCTGCAACTCCATTTAGCTGAGGTGTCTTTGGAACTGTCTTCTCAAGCTTGATGCCTTGACTTTTGCAGTAGCTCTCAAATGGACCTCTGTACTCTCCACCATTATCAGATCTTACAACCTTAAGCTTCCGACATGTTTCTCTTTCAACTCTAGCCTGGAACTCCTTGAATGCAGAAAGTACCTAATCTTTTGTTTTCAACACAAAACCCACACTTTTCGAGAATAATCATCAATAAAAGAAACAAAATATTGAGCACCACTATGGGATTTATCAATAAAAGAAACAAAATATTGAGCACCACTATGGGATTTAGCATCCATAGAGCAAACATCAGTGTGGATAAGATCAAGAGGGTACTTTCTTTTGGATACTATGGGATTTAGCATCCATAGAGCAAACATCAGTGTGGATAAGATCAAGAGGGTACTTTCTTTTGGATGGGGGGAGAGAATGAAATGCAATCCTATGTTGTTTTCCAGCTAAACAATCAACACAGGAAGTACCTGATCTTTTGTTTTCAACACAAAAACCCACACTTTTCGAGAATAATCATCAATAAAAGAAACAAAGTACCTGATCTTTTGTTTTCAACACAAAAACCCACACTTTTCGAGAATAATCATCAATAAAAGAAACAAAATATTGAGCACCACTATGGGATTTAGCATCCATAGAGCAAACATCAGTGTGGATAAGATCAAGAGGGTACTTTCTTTTGGATCGGGGGAGAGAATGAAATGCAATCCTATGTTGTTTTCCAGCTAAACAATCAACACAGGATTTAATAGACATACCTGACACATCAAGGAGATATTGCTTCTTAGAAAGTAAATGCATGCCTTTCTCGCTCATATGACAAAGTCTCTTATGCCATAGGTTGCTGGAAGAATCATTAGCTACATTTGTCTCGCCTCTGCAAATTTTAGCTTGCATCACATAAAGGGATCCTTGCTTCTTGGCTCGGGCCACTCTCAGCTTTCCTTTGCAGAGCTTCCATTTTCCATCAACAAAGTGGCTGGAGTATCCATCATCATCGAGCAATCCAGTGGAGATCAAACTCAATCTGATGTCGGGCACATGTCGAACATCTCTCAACACCAACTTGCAACCAGTGGAGCTCTCTAAGCACACAGTACCCATGCCAATGATCTTGGATGATCCACCATTTCCCATTCTAACACTACCATAATCTCCGCTAGTGTAAGATGAGAAGTAATCCTGGTATGAGGTAAGATGATATGAAGCACCCGAATCAATCACCCAAGTGCAATCATCACAAGCAAGGTTTAAGTAACCTTGATCACCAATGAAGAGCAAATCATCACCAAATGCTAAGGCTGTGGTGTTTCTCTCTTCTGATGGATGCTCAGAGGATTCACCTTTTTCTTTTCTTTCCTTAGACATGTCCCTTTTCATCTTTCTACAAAACTTTTGAAT